CTGACTGCCGTTAGCCTCGGAGGTCCATTGGTTGCCAAGGCCCTCTCAATATCTGAACTTTTTTTCAAATTACGCACTAAATCAGTAAATAACTCCTATAGTGATGCTAAAAAGTATAATGTTCTCACCTTAGATTATCTTAAAACATACTTTAGAACAACTGCAACAGTAAAGAGAAGTTTTAACTTAATACTGTGAGTGCTCCATTGGAAGCTGCTGTTGCCGCAGTGCATGCTGGGACGGCTATCAGCCTCGACAACGGACAAGTCTGTTCTGATGCATACTCAGTAAAGAAGGAGGGGCGAGAACAACATCCGGGACTTTGTCGGTTCTTGATCTGCTGTTCTTGAATTGAAATAGTACTGAGGCTGAGGCTGAAGATGTTTCACGAGCACATGGGAACGCACAAGTACACATATTGAGAAACGGCCATAGTTTAGATAAGAGCAAGAAATCTATATTTCTCAGTTTTAGTTCAGTATATTAATGTGAATAATTAACTAATGTATTTTTGTTGTAAGTTTAAGGTTATGATGCAACAGTCTCTAATTAGTTAGGAAATTCAACTTGAGCATATCACTGCTGCCACCTTTAGGTTTAGAGAGGAACTACTTGTTCTGGAGGTGGTGAATTACGACCACAGAAGTGGTCAATGACTGGCTAAAGGTGGTCATGACCCCCCTGCCCTCCCTTTTAGTCCCTGACAAGAAGATTATGAGGATAATACAATTCATAGCATCATGTTACTTCCGTTCATTTGAAATCTCAATAACGAATGCAGTACCACTCTGTTAATCCACTATTAAGACCAGGTTAGGCAACTCTTATTTTTGCCCATAAGTGATCAGTGTGTTTTAGTCCTATCCGATGTTATGGAGAGCCTAAATCATTCTTTATACGTACCTCAAAGTCTCACCAAGCAAACAAACCTGGACTTGTCTCTCATTGCCAGCATTAACATCTTCCTTTAACCAAAGACGCAAACTCTTTCAGTGAAATTGCCCATAGGACTGAGTATGTCAAGGTTGTTTGTCATGTGTGTCTCTGTTTTGCCCTGTAAGGGACTGACAACCTCTTTAGTACCACCTCTTGATCAGTGACCCCTTGACAAGTGGGTGTATGATCGATGAAAGAGTCTCATTGAATTAGACTAAAAGGGACCAGACTCCCTGCAACAACAAAGGTATAAACAATGGAAGAGAGTACATATACACTGTATAATGCAGTATCACTTTACAAGTGTTTTTTGACAATCATTTTAGATCAGGAAAATATCTCACGAGCTGCAAAAAAGGGGAGCATGTCAGACATGTGTGTTAGACATAGGCATCAGAGAGCCCGTCGTGGCTGCTGGGTCATGCTACAGTACCTGCTTGGGGGTGAGCTTAGATATTCCAAGCAATCTCAGATGGGTACAGAGAGGAGATAGCTATGAAATGTTATGCTGCTTAATGAAATGCGCTAAGCTGGACCAAAACGTTTTCTATGTCTTTTATCTAATATTTTATAACTTAAACTAAGACAAATCAACAATTACTGCAATCAAGAGCAAACATGCTAAAGTGACAAGAAGTGCAAACGTTTCCTGAAGTTAATTCAACACTTAAGAACTTCTCAGCTTTAAAACTGCCTTCATAATATGAGTTGATGGAACAGTGTTGCTGTATGTGTCCAATCAGATGTAGTGTTGCTAAGCAATCACACGGCTATGTATTTTACAGGGGGTGTAGCCAGAGCATTTTAGGATTATTTTTACTGCAGTTCCTAGCAAAGCACATAAATATGGGTTGTCAAACAATGTTCTTAGAATATTGTTACATTAGAAATAAAAAATAATTTTATGTTGTTTCATAGGACTTGGTTAAAAAACAGCAAAGGTCCTCCTTAGTTTTATACAAGATTTTTGTTACACTGACTGATGTTGGTGGGTCCACTGTAGTCCACTGTGGCAACTGGCATTTGAAAGGCAGACTGGTCCACTCTGCATTAGTGGGTCAAATACAGGTGCTGGTCATAAAATTAGAATATCATGAAAAAGTAGATTGATTTCAGTAATTCCATTTAAAAAGTGAAACTTGTATATTATATTCATACATTACATACAAACTCATATTTCAGATGTTTATTTTGTTTAATTTTGATGATTACAAATGACAACAAATGAAAATCTCAAATTCATCATATCAGAAAATTAGAATATTACTGAAGACCAATAAAAACAAAGGATTTATAGAAATGTTGGCCAACTGAAAAGTATGAACATGAAAAGTATGAGCATGTACAGCACTCAGTATTTAGTTGGGCCTCCTTTGGCCTGTATTACTGCAGCAATGCGGCGTGGCATGGAGTCGATCAGTCTGTGGCACTGCTCAGGTGTTATGATAGCCCAGGTTGCTCTAATAGTGGCTTTTAGCTCTTCTGAATTGTTGGGTCTGGTGTATTGCATCTTCTTCTTCACAATACCCCATAGATTTTCTATGGGGTTAAGGTCAGGAGAGTTTGCTGGCCAATTAAGAACAGGGATACCATGGTCCTTCAACCAGGTACTGGTAGCTTTGGCACTGTGTGCAGGTGCCAAGTCCTGTTGGAAAATGAAATCTGCATCTCCAAAAAGTTGGTCAGCTGCAGGAAGCATGAAGTGCTCTAAAACTTCCTGGTATGTGGCTGCGTTGACCCTGGACCTCAGAAAACACAATGGACCAACACCAGCAGATGACATGGCACCCCAAACCATCACTGACTGTGGAAACTTTACACTGGACTTCAAGCAACGTGGATGAAGTGCCTCTCTTCTTTTCCTCCAGACTCTGGGACCTTGATTTCCAAAGGAAATGCAAAATTTACTTTCATCAGAGAACATGACTTTGGACCACTCACCAGCAGTCCAGTCCTGTTTCTCTTTAGCCCAGGCAAGACGCTTCTGACGCTGTCTGTGGTTCAAGAGTGGCTTGACACAAGGAATGCGACAGCAGAAACCCATGTCTTTCATACGTCTGTGTGTGGTGGTTCTTGAAGCACTCACTCCAGCTGCAGTCCACTCTTTGTGAATCTCCCCCACATTTTTGAATGGGTTTTGTTTCACAATCCTCTCCAGGGTGCGGTTATCTCTCTTGCTTGTACACTTTTTTCGACCACATCTTTTCCTTCCCTTCGCCTCTCTATTAATGTGCTTGGACACTGAGCTCTGTGAACAGCCAGCCTCTTTAGCGATGACCTTTTGTGTCTTGCCCTCCTTGTGCAAGGTGTCGATGGTCGTCTTTTGGACAACTGTCAAGTCAGCAGTCTTCCCCATGATTGTGTAGCCTATAGAACTAGACTGAAAGACCATTTAAAGGCTTTTGCAGGTGGTTTGAGTTAATTAGCTGATTAGAGTGTGGCACCAGGGGCCATCAATTTTGAACCTTTTCACAATATTCTAATTTTCTGATATGATGAATTTGAGATTTTCATTTGTTGTCATTTGTAATCATCAAAATTAAACAAAATAAACATCTGAAATATATGAGTTTGTATGTAATGTATGAATATAATATACAAGTTTCACTTTTTAAATGGAATTACTGAAATCAATCTACTTTTTCATGATATTCTAATTTTATGACCAGCACCTGTAAGTCTTTTTAAAACCCAATTTTAAATTTCTGACATTTTTTTGCTTACAAACACAACCAAACCTATGGGGCAACCAGAAAATGAAATGAAATACAGGACAACGGTGTGGAGCATTTTCCCTCAAATTGCCTGGCTTTAGCAGTAAATGTGGAAAGAGGATGCTGAGCTGAGGCCACTCTATCCTGACTGCGTGGCCAATGTGGGATATTCAGCTCCAATCTGCCCGATTGATTGCCTCTCAATCTACCCCCACTACCTTTCTGATGGGCTGCTTCAAAGTTTCTGCATCTCCCTCTCTCAGCCTCATCTGAGCAGAAGCTACTGTTCAGACGTATAATTACCCGTCGAGTAAGGGGGAGCCTGCCATTGACCCGGCTTTCCACTGATGTAGCAGGAGGGAGAATGTGGAGAGTGAGACCAGGAGAGTGTGGGAACAGCAGAGAATGCAAGATGATGCATACAATATCACACGATAGGAAAAGTAAAGTGGCAGAGTAAGTGGGTAAGAGGGAAACAAGATGGAGAAAATATTGTAAATTCAGGATTGGAAAAGTGACTCCTCCCTATTCTTCTCCTGTCTTCTTCTCTTCGCTCAATGCCATGGGGGTGGCTCTTGGCAGGCAGAACCACAGACAGTCAATGAAAAAGTGAGTAGGAGGTTTGTTGCTAGGGGAACAAGGCCTTTTTAATCCTAATCGATCCGCATTCTTATGCTAAGGTAATTACGCAAGTTTTTGTCAGTTGCATCCTTGGTCTCCAAAAAGAGCAATGCCATCCCAACACTGTTTCTTTTTTCTCTGTTTTTCTACAGGCTGTAAGAATAAGAAGAAAAGGGTGTCCCACCATGCCTGGTCTGCGGTTCATATCTGTCGATACATCCTATTAGAATTCCGCCAAGGTTTCCACTTAAAATGCAAAAGCCCGCCTTGCCCTCCAGATAAGAGAAGAACAGACACAGTGGCTGCAGATATTGTAGTATATAAAACAACGGAACGTCAGGAAATTTTTCTTTTTTAATGCAGACAAACCAAGGAGGAAAGGAGACATCCAAGCAAGCAGGCACTAAAAAATTTGGTGAACTATGATGGACCTAATTCACAAAAAATTCAGATAAAGGAAATGCTGCTTAGAGAATCCTCGAATTGAATGAGCACCACTAACATGGGGAAAACTTTAAAGGTTTAAGTCTTTCCAATAATTTTTTCCAGCTTTTATTTTGTGACTGCATTCTTAAATGCTTTAAAATAAAGTATAATGATAGAGACATTTGGATCTATTCAATCAGACCGCAACAAAACAAACATGCATGTTTTACATGATTGTTAATTCAATGAGGACCTAAATCCACTACCTTGCAGCTGTAGAGAATATGTGAGTGTAGGCTGTACCTGCAAGATGACCCAATGACCTTTCTTAGCAGCCAGATCGAGTGCTTGTTCAGCTATAACCTCCTGGCCTTGACCCAGCGACACGTTGTGGAAGTTGTTGTTGTCAAATGTGTAGCCCATCTTCTTCCCTACAGAATAATTGACACATTTGATGTTATCTACAAACAAGTCATACAGCTTTGACAAGTGTTAAGCCTCAGTTAGAAGTATATCTAATGGGTATATCATACAAGTGATATTATTGACCACTGTTATTACTGTTGACTTAACTGGTTTGGAATTTAGCCATTCCTTTTCATCTGTAGGCCACAACTACTGTTCCTACTTGTGCAGGGGTCAGGAACCTATGGCTTGCAAGCCAGTTATGGCTCTTTTGATAATTGCATCTGGCTTGTAGATGTCGGCTTTTCAGATAAAACATAAAATATTATCACATTTTTAATCCATCCAATGATTTTCCACTGTTCATGTCTTGTTCAGGGCTGCAGTTGACTGCAGGAGCAAATATCCATTATTTTAATAGCCTACATTGGCCTTTGCTGGTTAAACAGGTAAACGCCCCCATTTGGACCAGTCTGCTCGGACATTAGCTCGAAGCTAACCCTTTCAACGAAGACGATGGCAAAAAGAAAAAAGATGGCGTGTATCGTACACTTCAGAACTAAATGGACTGAAAAAATCCCTTTTGTAGAGAGAGCAGATTCTGCAGTGTGCCAAATTTGCAATGACAAAATTGCATCGATGAAATAGTCAAATGTAAACTCGCACTTTGATACACGCCATGCTACCTTTGCATTAAAATATCCTACGGGAGACAGCAGGAAGGCAGTGTGCCAAGTGCTACTGAGCATGGATTCAGTTTTCTGTAACTTCGGCAAGGTGACTATAATTTTGCTAGTTTTGCTGGATCTTTAACAATAGTGAGGAACAGAAAACCATTCACAGATGGCGAGTATGCTAAAACTCTCATGCTGGATGTAGCCAATGAACTTTTTGATGATCTTCCCAGCAAAGACAAGATAAATAAACAGATACAAACTGTTCATGATTGTACCACCATGATGACAAAGCAAGTAAAGGAAATGCAAGTGAAGGGCATAAATGTAGCGCCGTTCTTTTCCTTGGCTTTGGATAAGTCATATAGGTCATTTGTTGCAGTTCAGTTCAGCAAATCCATGCAGCACCAGAAGTCGCATTAATGGTGAGTATTATAAAAACATTATTTAAAAAAATTTACTAAAAGTCTTATTATAAATATGAATTCAATCTTAAAACATACGATATGGCTCTCACTGAAATAAATGTCTAATTAATTTGCTTTCATGACTCTCTGAAACAAAAAGGTTCATGACCCATGTACTAGTAGATCAGAAAGTGCAAGACGATGTGAACAATGCTGGGCCAATATTTTTGCAGTGGTCTGAGGGGTCCTACATTCCAAAATGTCCTGACACTGACAGAGACTCACGCTGAAGACATGATGATGTGAGCTCTACTTAAAGCAGAAGTCTGGTCATATTCATAATTCAAACTTATGAAAGTATTTTAAATCTGAAATTATTACATACTGTTCAATAAATGATACGTGTTTTTAATTAAGAGTAATTTAATTTGAATGGGCTTTACCGGAGACATCCATATTTGTCAAAGAGCACTACTACTACCTACTGGTATGTGACGTCAATGTGCGGTATCGGCTGTTGAGCAAATCCCAATTCTGTATCTGGTGTTTGTCACAATGCGCTAGTATCCAATTCATCTTTAAAACATTATTTTTCGAAATGTTGGGTACATATTATGTGTTTTTTTTTTTTCTCTGGCTAGAAGTTAAATGGTAAATCCTCCCTCTTCAAGTTGGCAATCCAACGACCAGGACCACACAGGATCATGAATCAGAAAGGTGAAATAGCAAATTTTCACTTTTATCCGATGTATTACAACATCCAACTGCCGTACATGCGGGCATTGTCAGTTTAACTATAGCTCTTGCAGATTTCAATGGTGACGTCCTCTCGAAATCTTCATTAATTGTTGTTGATTGCATGGGTGTCTAGTAGCTCCCATTGATTCTGCTTCTAAAGCGGGGAGAATAGCGCTACACTTACCGCACCGTGACATCACTTCCGGAAGATGTCAAGAGTGAGGTGTTACTATATTTGGGCAAAAATGGCCTGTCCCAGACTCAGTGATCGCGACTAAAATTGTTATTTTTATTTGTTTACTGATTTACACTGAATTCATTAAATCACCACAAACATATTAGTTTTAGCTAGAAATAATGACCCATTGGTTAGTCTTTGCAGACCGGACTTTTCCTTTAAAGCTTTTGTGAGACAGTAACAAAGTCTTAAAAATGTACACCAAGCTGTTAATTTAGACATGCAACAAAAAAATATCCTAAGCATAGATACACAAAAGTAAAATTATTAAGACTTCAAAGTTACAGTACAGTCCCAATTACAGTTGAGTAAAAGTTATCATTAAAAGGCTGAGCCATTAAATTACCTGTACATAAGTAGATGCTAAGAGATCTAAGTAGGCTCAAAGAATACTAAAGAGTGGGTATTATTTTTTGTTTCATACAAGATAAAATGTTTGTTTAGTTTTGTTTAAATAATATTAATGTATTCAAAGTGGGTAAATTACTGTTTTGGACATTTTCAAAAGCTGAATAACTAATATATATTTATAAAAGATGATACATGTGGAAGTTGTCTCCTGTAGGTAACATATGAAATACCTATAGCCTTTCTGGGAAGATTCTCATTCATCCAGGTCATGGTCATGCATCAAAAGTTCAGTTTAGGCAACTGGACATGAAGTTTTCTAGAAGACGTTTCGCCTGTCATCCAAAAGACTTCTTTAGTTCTATCTAGTAGTTGGGAGCACTGAGATTCCTATACTCTAGATCGAACAAAGAGTTAGGGGGGACAAAAGGTGGCTTTGATCCCTACCACTGGATTGGCCAAGGAGGTAACAAGGGGGGCTAAGAGAAACTCGTTTGAGAAAAACGTCCATATTCTAAGGAAGAAAGATGGTTTGAGAGAGGGGTTGAGGAAGTCTTTGTTAACCAGCCATATTTGAAACCATCTCTCAGCAGAGGAGGTGGTTTTAGACATAACCTTTAACCCACTTACAAAGCACTTTCGGGAACAATACCCAGAAGAGTCACCTCTTACCCACCCTCACCTGTCTCATACTTTAATGAGGCATGTGACTGAAACCACTCTGAGGAGGGAGTTAACAACATATCAGAAGCAACTAACGACCATTAACATCCCCATTGTGACCTTCTTGGCCAATCCAGTAGGAGGGCTCAGAGCCACCTTTTGTCCCCCCTATATATTTGTTACACCTACACTATAATAATATCAGTGCTCACCACCACTGGTTAGAACTGAATAAGCTTCTTGGATAGAAGACGAAAAGTCTTCTAGAAAACCTCATTTCCAGTTGCCTAGACTGAACTTTTTCAAACTTGCTTATAACCTTGTTACTCAGCATCACTTAGGAAATCACTTTAAGTTACAACATAGTGCCACATCATAATCTCCATATGGTCAGTAAATTAGTCTTACCTTCAAAGTTTAAGTGGATTGAGAAGTTTTTTAAGCAAAGCTGGTTTCAAATATGTAACTAAGTGGAGTGTCAGTCTTTTTCAGAGTACCATTAGTCCCCTGCGGAGCATACAAAATTACATCACCTATCTAATAAAAATCTAATTGGGTCCTAATACCAAGGATGAAACCCAATTGTCACATAATGGAAAAATCCCTCTTCGTTTTTGTTCGGGAAGCTGCAACTCATCAGGGTTTTCTGCAGCAGAGACTGGTTGCTTGTGGCTTATATTTTACAGACTGTTGAAAGTACAGCTGTTTATGATCAATAATAACACTCCTTATGGGGAGTTTCAGAAGCATTGCTCTCACTTATCACATTAGGAGAGACTGGTGCATTTAACATGGTACCCACGCTCCTGCCTGTAAGAAAGACCCATAAAAATCTCACAAATAATGGTTCTCTGTGGGTAATAACAGAAAATAACTGCCTGGATTAAATTAATCGAAAAAATAAATTATTTAAGATACAAATACAGAACATTTCAAACGAACACTATGAATTACATTAATGCAAAAATACTGGCTTGTTCATTTGCAAAAGGCCTGCTTTATGCCATGTTGCTTTGTTCCAGTTAGCTGAAACATCTCTGCTGACTGAATATTTCATAGAGCAGACTTGAAATATCCACAGACTGAATGGTTCAAAAGATGTTAGGCTTTGAGAGTCCCCTGTTCCAGGTCAGTACAAAAGCTCAACATTTGGAATATTTTTGGTCAGAGAAACCAAACCACATGTCATGCTGGCATACAGTATTCAAACAGCAACGTAAAATAACTCAAACCAGTGACATTTACTTTCCGCTCCTCCTAATACACCAGTGGTGTCGCTTCATATATTTATGACCTTTAGTATAATCCGCTTAATCTACTCAGATGCTGCTGTGCATTTGCAGGGACGGCTGATATCACAGCAGAGTCTGTGGAGGGATCACTGTTGCTCGGTCTGATACGCCTTTGCTTTGGGAATCTCAGTGCAGGTACATAACCCTAGAGCGGTATTCCTACCAGTCGATCTTTGCCACATTTGGTCATATTTCAACAGTTATATTAAGTTTCTGCTACAAATTTTGTAATAACCATTTTAAAAAATCAAAATAGCTTAATAGCCACTTACAGCAGGATTGAGAGATCTGAGTATAGCTCTGCTAGCTCTGACATCTAGAGACTAAACCTTTCAGCAGGAGACTTTTTATGCCATCTCTAACACATAATAATACCTTCCTTGTCTTGGCTCCCTGTCAACTCTGACTTTTGGCTGTCTGTAAGATTGTTGTTCTTCTTGCATGGCATGCCAGTTTAGGTGGACAGCCATGTCTTGGTACTGTATGTTAAAGCGTCTGCTACTCATTCCCCATTTTCAGAACGGAGAGAAAGTGCTCAGTGATATGTTTAACCTAGTGTATTATGTCATAAAATAACTTTCTTTAAACTTGTCAAATATTTTCTTCCTAATGTGTCTGCTTTTTCCTTTGACTTAATGAATATAAATGTCAATAATGTCTTTAAAAACATCTGAGGCCTTTACAGAACTGCTGGAGATGCAGAGATTAAATAAGACACTGACACATTCCAGTTTAAATTACACACAGGTATTTTTGAATAGAGAACTAATGAATACCAACACTTCAAAACTGGCACTGATACTGAGGGAAAAAAAGGAAAATATTCAATACAACCATTTTTAAAGGCACAGCATTCTTTTGTATGAATGCCACCAGTCACTTTATGGAATTGATTTTAGACTAATAATTAAGTGGAAAAAAGATAAGGTACACTGTAAAAATGAAAGAGTTACGAAAACATAAAAATTCAACGCAACTGATGCAAGAGATTTGAGTTTTCTCAACTTTTGCCTTCTGTTGTTGACTTTACTAAGCTTTACACCTTCAAATAAGAGTTTTGTCAAATTAAATCTTCTGATTCACCTAATATATATATATATATATATATATATATATATATATATATATATACACTATATTGCCAAAAGTATTTGCTCACCTGCCTTGACTCACATATGAGCTTAAGTGACATCCCGTTCCTAATCCATAGGGTTCAATATGACGTCGGTCCACCCTTTGCAGCTAGAACAGCTTCAACTCTTCTGGGAAGGCTGTCCACAAGGTTTAGGAGTGTGTTTATGGGAATTTTTGACCATTCTTCCAGAAGCGCATTTGTGAGGTCGCACACTGATGTTGGACGAGAAGGCCTGGCTCTCAGTCTCCGCTCTAATTCATCCCAAAGGTGTTCTATCGGGTTGAGGTCAGGACTCTGTGCAGGCCAGTCAAGTTCATCCACACCAGACTCTGTCATCCATGTCTTTATGGACCTTGCTTTGTGCACTGGTGCACAGTCATGTTGGAAGAGGAAGGGGCCAGCTCCAAACTGTTCCCACAAAGTTGGGAGCATGGAATTGTCCAAAATGTCTTGGTATGCTGAAGCATTCAGAGTTCCTTTCACTGGAACTAAGGGGCCAAGCCCAGCTCCTGAAAAACAACCTCACACCATAATCCCCCCTCCACCAAACTTTACACTTGGCACAATGCAGTCAGACAAGTACCGTTCTCCTGGCAACCGCCAAACCCAGACCCGTCCATCAGATTGCCAGATGGAGAAGCGCGATTCGTCACTCCAGAGAACGCGTCTCCACTGCTCTAGAGTCCAGTGGCGGCGTGCTTTACACCACCGCATCCGACGCTTTGCATTGCACTTGGTGATGTATGGCTTGGATGCAGCTGCTCGACCATGGAAACCCATTCCATGAAGCTCTCTGCGCACTGTTCTTGAGCTAATCTGAAGGCCACATGAAGTTTGGAGGTCTGTAGTGATTGACTCTGCAGAAAGTTGGCGACCTCTTCGCACTATGCGCGTCAGCATCCGCTGACCCCGCTCCGTCAGTTTACGTGGCCTACCACTTCGTGGCTGAGTTGCTGTCGTTCCCAAACACTTCCATTTTCTTATAATACAGCTGACAGTTGACTGTGGAATATTTAGGAGCGAGGAAATTTCACGACTGGATTTGTTGCACAGGTGGCATCCTATCACAGTTCCACGCTGGAATTCACTGAGCTCCTGAGAGCGACCCATTCTTTCACAAATGTTTGTAAAAACAGTCTGCATGCCTAGGTGCTTGAATTTATACACCTGTGGCCATGGAAGTGATTGGAACACCTGATTCCAATAATTTGGATGGGTGAGCAAATACTTTTGGCAATATAGTGTATATATATATACAAATTTATATAGGAGTCTGGACAATTTGGACTGGTTCAGACTTGTTCAGACTCACATTGGCTTTCCCTAACTTCACTTAAAAATAAAATGAAAAATTGATATTCTTTGTTGTGCCTTTTAGCATATCGTAATTAGGACATCAATGAGACAAAAAAGTTTTTCTGGGTTTTAAATGGATTTTTATCCTAGATTAATTTGAAAACTAATAAAATCGACAATTACTTGATATTTTTACAGTGTATTATTTAAGCATGCCATTATAAAAAAAATGCTTTATTGCATAATAGCAAAAAAACAAACAAAGGTAACATTTAGCAGAAGTGTTAATATCCTTTTTAGTATGCCCCTTTTTAACCAATTATTGCTTGGGTGGGCCTCTGCAAGACAGTTGAAGAACGGTGTGCATATGACTGCATGTGCAAAGATTGGTGCCAACTTGGAAAAGGTAAAAATAGCTTAGTCTGAATGTGAAGCAAATGAGCATCATCAAAGAATTTGCTTTTTTTGCATCAATGACAACCTGAGTTATAAAGTGACAGAATGTGAAAACTTATGCCTCGCCTCCAGTTCTAAAAACTCCAGAATGATAATTCGGTCATGTGCTCGTTCATGACATACTTTACAGTGATTTTGTGGCTTACTTCAAGCAATAACATTACCATGTTTCTCAACGTCCTTCAAAGGATCCACTCCAGGAGACAGGATGAAGAACATGGGAGTATCTGCTCTGGACTCTTCAAAGGAGACAGCAAAGTCCAGTGATCTTCCCATCACGTACCCGCTTCCCAGTTTCTCCTCTACAAAGTCTCTGCAGGAGGGAACATGACTTAGTTCAGTTCAGCATGTTTTGTTTTCATCTCTAACCTACAAGCTGCAGACTTTGATGAATCAGAATCGCCTTATAGTGCAGAGACAGCTGTTTAAATCAACAGAAATGTTTTCTGTCTCAGGCACAGTTTGTAGATTTCTGCCTTAAATAGAGGAACTTTGCAAAGCTTTTAAATTTAAAATCTGCAAATATGAATGCTTTATCTTGTTTAATTTGTAATAGGATGATAATGGCCACACATTCCTACCTCACCAAAATGGTATGTATACTATATCAGTGAGGAAGCTTACTACCGGTGTTTTGGTTATTCCATTTCCTACAGCAAGTACCCTTTATTGTAGTCCGTGGTGAACATTTTTTAGAGTAAAGTTTTTTGTAGTTTATAGTAAATTCAAAAGAGAGATCATATCTCTCCTATCCTAGCTTCTCTTCATCGGTTTCCTGTTAAATCCAGAATGCAATTTAAAATCCTCCTTCTCACATATACTGTAAAGCCTTAAATTGCCAAGATCCATCTGATATCAGAGATCTGATTGTTCCTTATGTTCCTAACAGGGCACTTCGCTCTCAATCTGCAGGTTTACTATTGGTTCCTAGAATTTTTTAAAAGTAGAATGGGAGGCAGATCTTTTAGTTATCAGGCTCCTCTCCTGTGGAACCAACTACGTACCAGTTTTAGTCCGTGAGGCAGACACCCTGTCTACTTTTAAGGCTAGGCTTAAAACTTTCCTTTTTTATAAAGCTTATAGTTAGAGTGGCTCAGGTTATCCTGAGCTATCTCTACAGTTATGCTGCTATAGACTTAGACTTCTGGAGGACATACAGTAGGGACCCCTATTTCATCATTCTGCTTCATTCTAACTCTATTCTTCCACTCTGCAGAATCTTGTAGTTCAATCTATAACGTTATGCTCTCTGCTTTTTCTCATAGTAGCTTCGCCTTGTCTGTTCCTGTTTGGCTGTGACACCATCCTGGAGAGAAATATCAGCTGTGCAGCTGCCATTAACATCTTTGTTTATAGATGTTCGAGATAGGCCTGTTTTCAGTGTAGTCCTGTTTCTCTGACTGTGACTGGATGGATGTGCTCTCTTCATCCTCTGACATGGGTGCTGGCTCGGAGCTCATCTGCCTGGTTGTGTGTTTCCTGCACGGGGCCGCCTCTGCAGCTGGTTTACAGTTGCCTTTGTATCTCTGCTTCTTTCTATAGGTCTGCTCCTGTGTCCTTGAACCCCAGTCGGCCTCGGCAGATGGCCGCTCACACAGAGCCTGGTTCTGTTGGAGGATTCTTCCTTTTAAAAGAGAGTTTTTCCTCTCCACTGTTGCTACAAGCATGGTTAGTGTGAGGGATTGCCTTTGAGTCAATGGGTCGATAGAATCAACTGGATCTGGTTGAATTGTAAAGTGCCTAGAGATGAAATGTGTTGTGAATTGGCGCTATATAAATACACTGAACTGAATATATATATAGTAAAAGAGCAAGTAAGGAAATAAAAAGTTTTATAACAAAAGTTCAGGATTAAAACAAAAAAGAGCTTGTTAAAGTAATAATGGTTTCTGCATATGGGTGACTGCCTAAAAAGAGGTTAGACTTTTTTTTTAGGTATCTTATTTATTAAGTACTTGCATTTCAACCTGAAAATATTCACACAGAAGGGAGACAACAATTAAGAGATTTTTTAGTAAAATGAGAAATATAGCGGGCTGCTCAGTGGCGCAGAGGGTAGCACTGCTGCTTTGCAGCAAGAAGGTTCCATGTCTGATTCCTGGCCCGGGGTCTTTTTACATAGAGTTTGCATGTTCTCCCTGAGCATGCGTGGGTTCTCTCTGGGTACTCCGGCTTCCCCCCACAGTCCAAAAACATGACTGTTAGGTTAATTGACTTCTCTTCCTTAGGTGTGAGTGTGTGTGAATGGTTGTTCGTCCTGTTTGTGTGTTGCCCTGCGATGGACTGGCAACCTATTTGTTCAGCATGTATCCCGCCTCTCGCCTATTGACAGCTGGAGATTAGCACCAGCACCCCTCGTGACCCCACTTGGGATTAAGCGTGTTAGAAGATGGATGGATGGATGGATGGATGGATGGATGGATGGATGGATGGATGGATGGATGGATGGATGGATGGATGGATGGATGGATGGATGGATGGATGGATGGATGGATGGATGGATGGATGGATGGATGGATGGATGGATGGATGGAGAAATATAGGCTTTGGCCTCGGTGAAAGATGTAAGCATCTTATTTCAAATTATTTCATTGGACAATCACTTTGTTCCATTGTTCAGCTTAAGTGCCTTTTATGTTGGCAAAGAGAACCTACCAGCTATAACCAATTTGTTTTATTAAATCACATTCATAATAGGAAATAAATAAATAATTATAGCTCTCAAATGAAGACTTTTTATATAATGACTGGAGGAGCCTCTTAGATGTTTATGGGTAGATAAATAATCTAATACAGTGCAGAAACTGTTCTACAAATAGGTAAAAGCTTCGTAAAATAGGTGTATCTGCCCTTATTTTAGAGCATGTAAATAAGATGATTTGCCAATGGAATGAGTGTTCTTGCCCTTAAAATAAGAATTTGAAAGAAATATGTTTTTATTTTCTTATTTTAAATACATATCATCTTAATCCATTGGCAAACTTGCTTACTTGTCTTACCTGCTCAATTCAATGGAAAATAATCGTACCATATTTTCCGCACTGTATTATAAGGCCTTATTATAAGACCGTCCTGTTTTCAAACTTTTTTCATATATAAGGCGCAATGGACCATGTCGCTGGTCATCTTCTTGCTTCCTCTTCTTCATTACCATTGATTTATTAGTGTTGAATTCTCTCGCAGCTGCTATATTTCTTCTTCTACTGAGTGACTGATAGCCTTGAGTTTAAAATCCGTATCATTAGTGTGTCTCTTGAAAGTTGCCAGTTTTGGTCATTATTATTATTATTTTTTTGTTAGGGTTAGGGTTTTGTTTTAGGTTCTTCTAACAGATCAAGTCACAAGGCAGATAAAGGATACTTCCAGGTTCCTCATGAAGGTATTAGAAAAGGGATTCACACTAAGGATTTCACGAAAAGACGCAGCGGAAAAAGGCTTTCTGTGAACCAGAGTGTGACCAGAGTTTCTGGCTATCACTTTTTTAAAGGTTAGTAATTCACTTCGATGTTAATTTACATATAAAGAGCCTTTCAGTGTCTTAGACTAAGACTTAGATTTATTTTGTCATTTTGAATACACAAGTGTAAACAAAAAGACATTTTGTTTAGAACAGCTCTCTAGACAATTTCACTGTCTGCAGCGATTCCAGTGTGAGATGAGCGAGTGCACACTCACTAGATTGTCTGGGATATCAGAGAACTGGCAGGTATTTTGACAACTCGTAAGTCAAATTGTTCTCAAAAAATGCATATGGATCTATTCCACCACATAATATGACATTTTGGATGTATCAATCCTAAGTTTAGTTGGCCTGACCACTGCTTAATTAACCGGAAATTAGTGCATCACGTGATTGCAAGCCAAGAATCGATACACTGGAATATTATGGTGAAGCACGGTAAGAATTACTACACTACGCTCCTGAATACGGTAGCCGTAATTCTGCAAGCACTGTGGCTTTGTAGTTTACCAAAGCCATATTAAAATAATTTGGCAAAGCGTCATCCACCACACAAAATCACTTTGAGGTTAGTAAGGACAAAAACCAGAATGAATCCATATACAGTAGCAGCCATTCAAATTGGCCCTTCCCAGTCAAACGCCACCCGAATGGCAGCCTACTACCAGCCAAATCCCCTCCAACTTTCAACCACTGGCCTTCTCCTGGGCATACTTTTTTTTTTTACTCTGACTCCACCCTTTCACTGAATTACAGGGTCTGACCAGGAGAAGGTGCTTCTCTTTAGATCTTAATATCAAATATTTTAGTACAAAGATTGATGTTTAAAAAGGAATTGTAGGGGACCAGACAAATGCCAACTAAGGCACACTGTCGTTTTGGGAGAAAGTTAAAGCCTTTAAAGGAGCCTTGTAGTCAGTGTTGGGCACGTTACTTTGAAAAAGTAATTAGTTATAGTTACTAGTTACTTCTCCCAAAAAGTAACTGAGTTACTAACTGAGTTACTCCACAATAAAAGTAACTAGTTACTAGTAAAAGTAACTATTGCGTTACTTTTGCGTTTCTCACCCACGTAACCCTCACCACCCGGCCCCCACCTTCTCGCGGTGTGTTTCTAAAGCCAGCTGAATAGAGTGGATGACAAAGACAAGAACCTGCAGAGAGTTTAGCATTTATTGCAACTCAATGTAAATGACATCGGGGGGGAACGCCATGTGAAGTTTTTTAACAGGGCGTTCAGATCTGGTGAAATTAATAACTGGGGATGTCTAATTCTGAAATCCTGTGTGTTTGGGTTGTTATAGATACTGCAACATCTATCTATCTATCTATCTATCTATCTATCTATCTATCTATCTATCTATCTATCTATCTAGATGTATACTCTGTGTGTGACATAAAATATGGATCTCCATCCCTGCCACAAAGGCCATCAAATAATGTTTAAAATAAAAAATACAGTAGGTTGAAAAGGCAGAGCATCCATCCATCCATCCATCCATCCATCCATCCATCCATCCATCCATCCATCCATCCAGATTTCTCCCTTTCATTTGATCGTTCAGCTCTCCATAGTTCTCCTGTGGCGCGAGCACAGGGCGACTGTTGCGCGCCTTTAGCGAGCATGCGCGTTTCCTGTCGCTTGCGCGGTGACTCGTGCCGCCAGCTCGACGTAACACAAGTATTTCCATCAGGAAAACGCTGTTTTGCTGCTGGATCATCCTCACACTCCATCTCTCTGTGTGTGCTGTACGTTAACACCCGCCAGCAGAAACACCCACCTACCCAACTAACAGACGGAATCTCACTATTCATCAGCCATTCTCATCCTCCCCTCTCTCATGACAAGGCGCGCACCTCTGGATGACCTAAAAAATAATCTTTAATATCTCTTAAATAAAAGTAGCACAAACAATATTTTTTTCTGCACAAATCTGCACTAACGTTGCACTAACCATTCAGTCTATTTAGAGAGTTTTTTGACGTGGCTGGGGTGTCAGCTTCACGCAGCTGCGCACGAGTCCTATCATGAAAAAAGGTTCATTGTGCGACCTGAGTAACGCGCAGTAACGGGGTGTATGCAATGGTAACTGCGTTATAGTTACAGTCAAAGTAATTAGTTAGATTACTCGTTACTAAAACAAGGTAACGGCGTTACTAACGCCGTTACTTTCAACGCCGTTAGTCCCATCACTGCTTGTAGTACAGTATGGATATTATGGTATTTCAATAAAAACTGACTGACCATGTCAGGTAGATTGATCTACATATGGGACAACACACCGGTGCTCCGGCATATGCTTTAGAGTAGAAATGCAGCTTGAACCTCTAATTTCAGCAAAAACAGAGGACAAGAAGAAACATGCAACTCATACCATGAGCAAATGATATGTCTTTAACCTGTTCCCTTTTAACAATAGGTCATAGAGCATCCTTCAAACATCAAAGGTCAAAACACTAATCCCACTGCTCACCTGACGGCGTATGTCATGCGGTCAGGTCTCAGGGTCCTCATCATGCAAAGCTTTTGAAGAGGAGTCTTGCTTTTCCACTCCTGTGGGAGTTTCTCTTTTTCAGGGCACTCAGACTCGACATACTTTTTCCAGCGTCTCGCTGAACCCTGAATGTCTCTGTCCAGATGTTTGAATTCATCCATGGTGCACAGGGACTGTTGGATTTAAGAGAGAGAGGGGGAAAAAATCACTGCAGGAAAGGCTTAAAGTTCTAAAAGTTCTGATCTCCCACATGAAAGTTTTGACCATTTCAGGGAGATTTCTCAGCAAAAGAAATAACTTTGTTTGAAAAAAAAAATTGAAAGGAGAAAAAAATGACGTCTTATCTTTCCCTTCTGCTTATTTAAATAACATTTATTCAAAGGAATATGCTGAGTAAACACTGTCGCTTTTGTAGCAGCATGGGGGTAAGAAAAGTCTAAATATGCACCCACAGCAGAAACAGTGGGGGGCTCCATTGTGAGCCCCTAGCTGACAGACATCTTATCTCATCTGTGGAAAACAGCAGTGTCACAGCACTGCCTTGAGCAGGTAGTCACTCTTTGACAAGTACAAAAACACACAAACAGCCACAAAGGAAGTGTGTACACCATGTTTCACACTGCATAAACTACCAAGAGGCAACTGAAAGTACCCCCCACCACACACACAGACACACACTACACAAATAAGACAGGGTGTTGAGAAGTAAAAAAATAAAATATCCACATCCCAAAGAGTTGGTGAGGTGAGAAGGAGATGAGACAAAGTGGCTTTCACTCTGATGTAGCTTGTTTAATTATCCCAGATGGGTGGCAACCTCTTAGTCCTGTTCAGAAAGAATTCACTTAGTCCCAAGGGATTCCTCCTCGGCTAATATCGTCAAGAGAGCTGAGCAATCAGGGGATCTTATCATCCTTTAAAGCTTTCCTACTGATTATGTTTCCCGCTGCGATAAGAAAATCAAGTGACAGAATTTGATTAGCGGGGGCCTTAAACATCTGCAGTGCGATGAGTGCAGTAAGGGCTGCCTCTGAGCCTGCAGAGGGGTTTAGGTTAAGTTAATATTGTAGGCGGAACAGCCTGAAACATTTATGAACAGAAGAAATGAACAGACAGACGTCCTGCTGTTTGGGTTCAGTTTGCTGCTAAACTGATTTGACGAGCGAAGGAAACCATGTGTAGGAAGAGCAATTTTTTTTTTCATCAGGAGAAACAGTGACTGCTTTATTTCCATTTTATGATGATTCCGCTTCTCTAGATGGATGACTCCATGCAGAACCACATGCTATCAGTGGAGGGATCTGGGTGAAACTAAGATGTAAACCGCAGATCTGCAGTCATCTTTAAGGGCTGTCTGCTTACAGAAGGCTGTTGCTGAAAGATCATGAAGATTACATCATATGAAGCAATTCCATAAACTGTGAGTCAACTCGAGGTAAAAAGATGCTGAGGGAAACTTTCAACACTGTGCTTTGAAAAATTGTTTGAACCCTTACAGTATTCTTTTTGCTTTTCTTTCACCAAAATGCTTCAAATATACTTTGAGCAATGATAACTCGAAACATAAAGAAATGTTAACGTTTTTTTTCTAAGTACACCAGTCTGACAGGGCAGAGTTTGCTTTTCGTTTATCAAAGGATGAATTTGGCTATCTCTTTGTTGGCTGGCACAGCAATTTCTGAGTCTTGCTGAATTACAAAAGACAATAAAGATATGTTGAATTTAATTATAGCACAACATATTTATTTTCTTGCAAACTTTCTGATAAATTTGGACATATTTCATTGCATGTTGCATATCCCAGTAAATATAGCCTAGTAATCCAGCGGCCAAATCATTTTTGCCTGCGAGTTGGTCTAGCCTCGATCAATGCCCCAGGCCCTAGAACTGGCGAGTCAATCACAAAGCAGAGATGTGTTCTAAATGTCTGGATGCAAAGCGGGAGGGGTTTTGAGGGCATGACGAAAAAGCTGCACGACACAGTAGCATGCACTGCGGCAGCCACAGCTTTCAATGGAGCGCTCAATTGAAAGTTAAAAGTTCTCTTTCTGTTGCTGTTGTTCAATAAAAGTATGTTTTAAGATAATTTGAGGCAAGAATATTACACTTTAAAGCATCACTATATGTTCCATTTACCAATTTAATGCGTAATAAAAAAAAAAAAAAATTCCGAAGTTGAGAGGACCGTGGCAACCTGTGCAGCTCGTCTACAGCGGCCCTCTCTCGGCATAGTCGTGTGTGAAGGACCGCCGGCTCTGATGGCGATTTTTGACTCAGATTTGGAATCAGTTTTGGAAGGATTAGACTTAGGTTTTTGTGTTGAAACATGAGCAGGAAGAGGCTCTACGCTGATTCATTATTGAGAAAGAGCTGTTTGTTTACACTCCCCCACCAGTTTCCTGTCACGCTTACTACAGTACGTCACAGTCAGTTGTGCTCAATGGTCAGAGCGTTGGCCAATAGGCGCATACAGCGGTTTGAAAAATAACGGGTTGTTCTCATCAACAATCTTACGATGTTTCATTCATCAGGGCCAGACTAAATAACACCTTTCATCTCCCATTTAGTCTGCTTAAAAAGATTTATGAATAAATGTGTAACATAAAACTTTGCATATAATAAACACATTTTATGCGCCAAAATAAGCAAAATTTGCTTCTTCGTGTAAGCTACTTAACAGTTGTGTAAATATCTTGATGCAGGAACAAAAGAAACGGTGAACTCCACAGGTAACCTTTGAGCATGAGGAAGATTTGTCATTAAAGTGATTGAACTGAAATCGATCCGATAGATAAGATGTAAACCAGTCTAAACACAGAACTACAGCACTCTGCTGCTTTTTCTCGTAGCTCACGCTCATATTTAACAAAGTTTTTCTTTTTCCAATTATTTCACCTTGCATGAAAATCCATTGGCGTCTGTGTTAAGATGGATGCCGGGCGCTTCTGAAGACCCACAAAATCCATATTGAATCTAACGCTTTGATTGTCTGTAAGGTAAGACCCATATAACATGGAGAGCTCGGGAAACTCCGGCCTGCAGTACATTCAGGGACAATAGGCTATAGGCCTATAGATGCATCAGCACTAAACTGCAGAGGTGTTGTTCCGCTCATCAAATGATGTTTTAGTTGTAAACGGTCAAATAAAGATGCTATTTTAAAGCAACATTTTGGTAAAAATGTACAAAATGTCACTTAAAGATAAAGACTACAGAAACCATCCAGATTATTAATATTATTATCAGCTTATCATATTTAGAGACAGTTAATTCTCATTTGGACAACCAGGTGATATTTATGATTAGCCCAACAGCTGCCTTAAAAAAAATCAATGACAATATGATTGAGTTTCAAGTTTGGGAGCACCTACTGCAGTCTTTTAGCACCTAATAGCCCTCTGTGTATGTGCATGTCTTAATGCAGTTTAACACTAACCAGGTAAGTCCGATATAAAGGAAGAATGTAATAACAAAGTTTTTTTTTTTGTTTTTTTTTTGTTTGCAGATTAAAGATTCACTATTGGCTAAAATCTAGATCCTAAAAAGTACACGGCTTTGCACTTCGTAGGTGGAGAATGAGTTAGAAGAGATGACACAGTATATGTCAATAAGAGTTCAACCAAACTGGGCTTCACTGGCATGATTTTGAGGTTAAACAAGCATCAGAAATCCATGACTTAGAGCTTTATTGTCCAAAAAAAGGGGAAAAAATTTTACGAGTTGATGTGCCAACCCCATCCCAGGAAGGACCTGCTAATATTGCTGTTGTGAACGATTGTTCTGCAACAATTTACTATTTAGAGAATATTCATCCATGAGCTCTATATCTAATTGTTTTATCTAGTGTAGTACAAATATATACATATATGTATATATATATATATATATATATATATATATATATATATATATATATATATATATATATATATATATATATATATATATATATATATATATATATACATATATACATATGCATTCAAATTCTAGCATAGCACACCCTTAAATTCACTAAAGTTATGGTATCTCCCATTAACACCAGTAATGGGGAAGCTATTTTTTTCTGTTTTGTACCTTAATCCCTCCCCATGAGTGGTTGGATAGGAAATCCACTGGTGAGGTCACACCTGGTTGGACAGGATATCTCAAGAGGAAGTCCAGCTCTGCAGGGTTTATTTCATTATTCATCAGGAGTATCTGGGGACACAACAACAACAAAAAAGAGGGCAATGTTGTATTCCCCACACAACTGCTTTTCTTTCCACTTGATTAGATCCAGAAAGGGCTCATAGCCCCAAGAGCATCTGATTCAATGGCACGCATGTTCCTGAAACAAACCATGCAGAAGATGAAAGCAGTTCCCCTTCCTACCTGGAAGACGAGCTGAGCCATGTACGTCAGCTTGTCACACTCAAACAGGCCTCTAGTCGTGTACTGGAAGACTGAGAAGGTGATGCTGTCAATTAGGTTGGACACCCGCTGCTTCAGGGTCTCATCTGACTCGGCCTTCAGAACTGCTTTCTGGAAGACCACACCGAACGCCTGGAGATGAACGGGAGCAGGAAAAACAAACAGTCAGATGGGCTAATGAGGCATGTCAATATACAAGAATAACACAAAGAGACAGCTCTTTAAGAGGGCTTTTAGCACAAAATGCACTGTCAACCTGATTTTAATTAAGGATGACATGAACTTTTTCATATGAGAGATGAATCACTTTGTTGAGAATATAAAACAATGCAAATGAGAATTATTTAAGTGGCACAAAGAAATGTTTAGCTATAATAATCAATGGCTCATATATTAGACTACAGGTGCTGCACTTGCTGATGTCATATTTAGCCAGTTGGAAGCAGGCACTTGAACCAAATACAAGTAATCAACCGAAATGCATTAGGTCAGAGAGTGGTGGAGGTACAGATGAGAGGCAGAGGAAAGTGGAGAGAAGGAATCTATCACACCTCATATCATCACAGAAAAAATTAAATATCATCATTCCAGTATCCTTTCAGATAACTGGTCTCATCATGAACTGCAGTAAAGGTGCGTTTTTCAGTTTACTTACTTTATGACGGGCATTATTTCAAGCAAGGTCAAAGGTATAAAAACCGTGAATGGGTTTTCATTTGATTATGCGGGGAAATAAGTTGTGTGGAGGCAGCTACCTGAAGAGTCTAGAGTGATTGCAAACCATATCTCAGGCTCCCTTCTCTCAGCTTCGCTAGCTGACAATATGAGAGACATTATGCTCTGCATAACCACATTAGGGAGCCACAAACACAATAAAAGCAGGGCAAAGAGCATAAAACATGATGAGCAAATGGAAGGAAGAGGAGGAAAGAAGAGACGCAGGGAGTTAAAAGACGGGCCTCAGTGGGAGCCCTTGAGGTGGGTATGAAACATAGTGGGTCAACTGAGATACTACCTTGAGGGAGAACTGGTACATGGGGTGGATTTTATTAAGATCGTTCATTATGAAGTACATTAAGGAAGCTCGCGCTGCTGCTGGTCGGTAGTGCTCCCGAGCCTCGTTGATATTGGCCTCTGTCACCTTCGCCTCTTTCACCTGCAGTAAAGATATAACAGTTTAAACAGAAAGGCAGTCTGAAAATTAGGCATAGATGCAGGGGCTACCTGAATACCACAATTCAACCTGTAGTGAAGAGCAGATCCATGGAAACGGCTCTCATTGGAACATGTGTTTTCATTTTTGAACAGCTACTGAATGTGCAATTATGTTTAGAATTGAACATCTGCATAGGCAGTGCTCATCCTCTCATACGTGCACTCTCACAGCATCACAAGTCGTTTGTCGCAAGTGCTCTGAAAATATGTTAGCAACGTCTAGAGAAGACAGAGAGGATCTGATCTTCTGACCAAGAGCGGAGAAATTCGGGAGGGCTTACTGTTAGAGAAAATATGGGAATACTAAGCATGAATCTGGAGAATAAAAATTTACTCTATTGAATCTTTTTTGGGGGAGGGATAGAGCAATAAATATAACTGCAAGTAGAATTGTAACTATACCTAATACCCTATTATGTGATTAAAAGGTGCCTAAAGCACTAAAGTTTATTAGCCCTGTAGAACTAAAACAACATTACAACATTATAGATATTTTAGTTAGATGGCTCCTTGACCTGATGACCTGGAAAAGAGTCCATTTGTCTGTGGGATAATGAACCCACGGTGTTAACATTCTGGCCTGATGCTAGCATGAAGTCAGTGTTTGCCAGTTAGAGGGAAAATGGGAAATTTCACTGAAATGTTAAAGGGAACCGGGACTCTCTGGAAAAAGGGTTTTCTCACCAAGACTATCCTTTTAAATAAAATCAAGTAATGTCAGCTAAATCTGTAAGCCTTATTGGAATCCTTAAATTTGATTTTAAAGAGGAAATGTTTGTTGCTCATTGTTGTCACTGAGCCTACCAAAGCAAGGTTTGTTTAAAATAAAAAGATGGTTTATACTCAGAAACCAGGTCATCTGCGGGTGTCGCAGTAAACACAAATGTGCCCCCCCCCTTCTGCACCTCTCCAAAATTGTAGGTGACCGCAGACAGGAGGCCTCTCATTAGTCAAATTTATATTCGCTCTATACTATCTGTATTTCCTGTTTAGTACCTTACCAGCTTGTTTTGTTTGTATGACCGTCATTGTGGAAAACGACTCGTGAAGATGGACCAACTAAAAGAGCGAGGTGAGCGAGGACGCTGGGACCTTTTTTCCACCTGGATCCCCGCTCTTTTTCGCCCTCACATCCCTCGGTTGTCCCACAAACTTGCCCCCACTTCCTCACCGCCTCGGCCGTATCTAGACTCACAGCTAGCTCGTGATTGTCCCTCTTGCGTTATGCAATGGAAAAACAGCGCAGAACACGCTTCAATATTGGGCATACGGTAAATCAAAAACCTGTGACAAGCTCACTTTGTTTACAAAAAATAATAGGGAAATTAAAAATGGACAATCTTTGTAATATTTAACTTGCAATTTTTGAATTAAATTGCATTCCTTATTGCTAATTGAACCTGCAATATTCCACAGGAGATATCTACTGTATGCCAGCTTGATAGGAAGAGAAAACATCCTTGAAGTGGTGGAACTTAGCAAGCTACTTTTATCTTTTATCTGGTTTGTTTTGGGAATTTAAAAGAGTTACGATGGAACATATTTATATCAGTGGGTTAGAAAACAATGTTAGCAGCTATTACCGGCCCAAAGAGACTTTTATTAAGGTCGGGTTTTATTTTGTGCTGCTGAAGAACATCTGTGTTCCTACTGTATGTGAATTTACATTGTCTCAGCCTGCTGGCTGAAATAATCCTCTGGCTCAGCTGTGACTCATCAGTTTTCTGTATTTATGGCAGGAGGAGATTAGACCTTTGGATATCAGAGGTGAATAATGTTCCTGTAGGTTTTCCCTTGAAGTTTTAGAAGTTTTGGCCTTGTCCTACCCCCCATTTAATTCAAGGTACTTTTAGTTTCTAAATAGAGCCAACAAGTCTTTTAAGAATACTTTTTCTTGAGATCAGGTTGATACCGCATCGGCTCATTGCATTAACTTATTACCTTTATGTTATTCATCATATTTACATAATTTTTAAGGTGCCAGAGAAAGTTTATAAGTGAGCACAGCCCCCATCTCCACCAACTTTTTACCTCCAAGGCCTATATACACTCTGTAAGAAGAGCTAAATGTGTTCTCTCTCTCGTGGGTAAAATAACTCCCTTCTAAGAGTCCTAAATGCTTGCTCTTGACATTTTTCTTCTTTCGTGGTGCCCTAAAACTATTGTGATTGATCAGAATTTTGAAGTGGTACTATAGTGAAAAATGCACCACTAGAACATACGTATGCTTACAGCACTTCACATGAGTTTTGCTCTTGAAATGTCCCTTTTTGAAAGAACTTGCAAACTTGAATAGAAAGCAAGATAATTTCTTAGAGAATATGCACTGGATTTCACAACAATTACATTAGCTTGGCTGTTTCTAAAGTCGTAGTGTGAAAACTGCATAGTAGCACTGTTTTAAGATGGGGGGGGGGGGGGGGGGGGGGGGCATTGTGGGGCACCTGGAGAGCAGTGTGGGGTTAAGTGTCTTGCTCAGAGAACCTGAGTGGGAGTGGGGCTCGAACTCAGAACCTCAGGGATCAAAGCGGGAGGTGGGGAGAGATGGGGAGATCAGGAATGGGGAATCACGAAATCTCATGCTCAGTATGCAGGATGTTGCTCATCTTGTCTTGTCTTCCCTAATAATGTTTTTTTGTATAGAGACTGCTATTTCTTTTAATGCCTTGTTTGATTTCTTTTGTTCCTTTATAAGAAGCAAAACAACAACAACCAATAGTATGTTACGGTTTTAAAAAAGTTAATTGTGAAGGAAAACAGCTCTGAATGAGAAGTGATAAGGAAAACACATTAAACAAACAGGACTATTAGTGAAGTCAGCCTGTACAAGAGATTTCAGTTTCATCTCCATCAAACCGCTCAGGTTTATGGAATGATTTGGCAGCTAATTTGAGAGAAAGATAATGAGCTTTAATACATCTCTCTTTATCAAGAATTGAGTAATATGGGAATAAAAGGCAGGTCTTCCATTCACTGATGCCTGAGCATTGGTCAGATGCTTGGCTCCTGTGTACATCCCCATACTGGAGCAAGAGTTTTAATATAGTTACCAGTTTGTTTTGTGCTTCGTTTAAAAAAAAATTATGTTCAGCCTAATTAAGTTTTGGAACTAAACTGGATAAATTAGCTGCTTGGTTTTGAAGCCCCTCCCCAAATTTAAGGTCTGTACCAAACTGTATAATGTTCTGCAACAAATTACACTTGTTTATTTCATACTAGTCTATGATGCATAAAACAACAGATAAAAAAAAAACATTCAATTGAAAGTAAAATAATAGCATGGCAGTGTAAAAATAGGCTGGTTGTTAAGCTTTTATAAAAAATATTTCTGCTTTTATTTGCAATATGAGACAGTTTATTGAAATTCTGTATACATCATACCTTCTGTTCTATCTCCGCTGCAGTACGTTTGGTTGTCTCTAGATTTTCCACAAGCTCCGTGTCTCCAAGAAAGTTTCCTGAAGCTGAGGACAAACGGGACAGCAAGTTGTCCTCCAGGGTCTTCAAGGTGATCTTAAAACCATTCTGTTCCTTCGTCAAGTCAGACTAAAAGGAAAAATAAAAGAAATACATAGTATAAAAAACAGAATGTTATAATTCTAATGGGATGTTATAAGAATTGCACAGAGATTGAGTCAATACAAGGAGAATTATACTGAAAGGCACTTCAATGCCAGAACTGATCGATGCGCTCTGCAGTGCTGTAAGGACACAGGGCTCGGACATAGATTATGCAACTTCCGTCTGGTTACCAACCTCTACCTTCTTTCAGCTGACCTCGATTAGGGGTTTCCATTGATTCCGGGAGGAGGGCAGAAAGCTTTGATAGGGAGCAACCCACACAGTCTCACACCCATCCAGGTCGATAATGGATAATCTCTTGTGAAACACTATGTTTTTAATTATGAACCACTACAGGCAACAGGCAGGAGGTGGAATTTCCCATCATATGGATTAACGTACCCCCTGTTTAAAAAAGCTTCAACTCTGCCAGTCTTTTCACTTTGTTCTAGCCAAAAAACAACAGTGTCAGGGCAGAAACTAATACTTTTGTTCAAAGAATGGAATTTGAGTGGCGTTGTGAGAACAAAGTGGAGAGGGCACGGTTTTCCATTGTTTCATCCTCCTTTGTCCTTCATTTCAGTCTGCAGCAGTTTCTTGTTTCTGCTTGATAATGACTTTGCTGAAGTTTCCCCTGAACAAAACCTTCTGTTACAACCTTTATGGTGTTTTACTTGCATCCAGAGGAGTGGGGCTGTTGGGCGAGACTCTTTTAAGACGCTAGATTCTCATGAAATGGCTCATATAGTTTTACACTTAACAAGACAGTTAAATCTACTTCTGAATGACCCAAGACTTAATAAAATAAACTTAATAAGGATGTCCGTTCAGATGTTAGACATATATATATATATATTTGGGTATGAGATTAAAGCGTTTTTAAATGTCTATTGGTAAATATGAATGAAATTTAGCCCCCAGATTCGTTGTTGATCTGTTCTCTGCTTATGGCTGACTAAAAAAACTAGATTCATACAAATCATAGGAAAATTCACATCAAAATGAGAGAATGTAAATGTCAAACTTAGAGTTGTGCTGTTAGAACAGCTTCTCTGTAGGGAGAGATTGTGAGAGTATGTTTTGTCAAGGGTTGTAGCTACTGTATGGTATATACTGTTAGCGTCAAGGGTCACATGCAATGACGAGGATCAAAACTCTAGAAATCATGTTAATCATGTGTGGGTCTGCTACCGTAACATGCCTAAAAATAGCCTAAAAATATAACTTTAAGGCAACATAGAAGGGTTAAATAAGTAGAGTGGGGCCATACCATAATCGTTGTCCAGATCTTATCTATAAAGAAAATCTGTGGAGGGAGCTGAAGCTTGAAGTTAGCAGAGAGCATTGAGGAAAGTTTATGCACACATACTAAGCTTAAAGGTATATTGGAGGATACTTTGTCCTGGTGGATCATCAAAATAAGTGGTCCTCCTAATTTTCATTCATTCTGGTGATATGTTTACGTGATGCCGTCCAACGTCCTCATCCCCATTTTGATAACTAAAATTTTCACCTCTGCAAATTAAAAAAGTTATGAATTTTTTTACCACATTGTAGCTAGACAACAGCATAATTTTGGCTCCATAGCTGCTTTTATCAGAGTATTTAATAGTGTGTTTTCTTTCCATTCCCGCTTTCTATAGATATAAATCAGCTGAGAGGTATAGTGGAGGATGTCCTTTTTCCGGGTGGATCATCAAAATAAGTGGTCCTCCTAATTGTCAATCATTCTGCTGATATGTTTACATAAGGCCGTCAAACGTGCTTGTCCCCATTTTCACTTACCGGTTGTGAGTCTGACATAATGGAATAATTGCAAATCTTTTTTTGGAAATTAAGCTTGTATGAGTGATGCAAACAGCAACTTTTAAACAGAGCGTGCACGTGGAGGAATGGGCTGGTGCATAATCTTGCACGGGTTTAAAAGGCGTTCTCTCTGTGGAGCAGGTACATGGTTGTGTAGAGGGCAGGTCTTTTAAAAAATTTATGAAAATCCTCCACTATGCCTTTAAGATATCTGATAGATGACCACAACATGGATCAGTAAACGAGCACTACATCTCGTGCAAACATATTGCAAATCTGCTCGAATTTATGCCCAATAGGCAAAGACTTCTCTAGGCTCTCTTTGCAATTCTGATGTTTGTCCACTGAAAGTGCACAATAAAACACTAAATGATGCTTTATTCCAAAGTTGTGATGTCCCATTATGTCTCTGAGTGATCACCCGCCCTGGCTACTAAGCCAGAAAGATATCCCTTTGGCTGACTGGTCAGCATGCAGCACTCTCACCCAGTAGTCTTTGGGATTGAACCCCGCCTTGGTGCCTCTGATGTGTATCTTGCCACAGACATAAATGCCAGAATGTTCATTTTTATGTAAGTGAGGAAAGTACAAAATAAAAATAACGAAATATTGTATTTATTTACCCTGCAATGATAGCAAGTTATAAGGGCTTATTTAAATTTCCAACAATATTTTCCCTTGGTTAGATGACAGGAAATTCAAATCCCTTTAGAAAACACCTACTTTGCCTACCAGTAGTAAATATTACGTGCTCTAAATCTGTTGTTAATAACAAGGTTGCAAAAAGATGTAATTGGTGATTTTTAAGCAAAGTGCGTCTCTGCAGGAGACAGAAAATGAAAACGGTATTTTTTTATGTGGTGGACGGAGTCAACTGTGACCTTCTACATGCTTGCACTCACTGCTCTTAAGGGGAAAAGCTTTAGGCACTAAAACATTCCCAACTGGATGCAGTAATGAGTCAGTTTTTAACGATTAGCTTTCCTCTGGCACATTGTACTTGTAATTACCCCAGCTTAGGGAAAAACAAACAATTAACCAGTCAGCAGAACACCCTAATTGGTATTAAAATGAGATATTACATCTATCATTTCTTTTGGCAAATGATTACTTGGTGCCACGATGCGGCCCTGTTAAGGTAATTTAAGAAGCAGAGCATTACACTTCGCTCATTAATGCGGACGCTTCGTGGAAAAGCTAGTCTGCTGTATACACAATGCAGTTATGCACAAGTTGCTTATAAGAATAAAGATGAGGTAACTTTTGGGAAAGAGGTAGTAGACTCCCTTCACGTCGCACACACACAACACAACCCACAACCCTCCCTGTGCAGACACCAGAAAAAAGGCATTTTGACATTTTAAGCTTCTAATACCTTCTTTGGCTCAGTTAAAGAGGAGCTCTTTCACCTAGCAATCATCTTATGCCTGAGCAGCAACGCTAACCTCATTAAAGGTATAATGGCACAGAGTTATTGGAAGAATATAAACAGGTACAGGCAATTTGCCCTCCTCTATCATTGCGATGATCGTTATCAGTCTGGGTTGTTTACCGACAACAAAAAGCCATTCAGAGCTCCATTCTCTAGGCTGTGTTCAGATAGGAGGAGGCCTGGGAGTGTACAGAGAACCTGACACCCCTTCAAAGTTTCTGTGTTAATTAAAATGATAAGCAAGTTCAGATATTGTTTTTTTTTTTTTTTCTTTTTTCAGTCTCATTTAATCGGAGAGAGATGCTAATTATACAAGCATCATTAAATCACATTTCACTCCACTGAATTTTGCTAAGAGGACATAAGGCTAAAAATATCTCTGGCTTTATGCCATATGTTCCTCCTTCTTGTCATCTCTATCCTTCTTCAAAAATTATGATTTAACTATTGATAATGACCCTGTATCTTAAGGGTCTAAAAGACGGGGTGAATAAGAGGGTTCATGGAAAACCAAGATAAAACAATACAAGTAGACTTTAGTTGGAGTAAATCTGCCCAATCTATTAAAAAACTTCCCATTCTAATCTCTGACTTCCCATTCTCAGTTTAACTAACAAGACCCGCATTTGAGGAACTGCAAAAGTGTGTCAATGTGTTGACTAATTGCTGTGATACAGTAGCGCCATTGGGCAATCCGTTTTCAAACAACTCACATGAAACGAGCAGATTGCAGATAAGAAGGCATAGAAGCATCGTTAGGCACTGGAGCTTTGATCAAGAGAGTTTTCCATTAATTAAAACCAGTTACATTCACACAGTGGCACATACTTTTGATATCATAACTACGAGGGCCTCATTATTTTCTCTTAAGTTGCCCAGAAATGTGCCCCATTTCATAGTGTAAAGTCTGTCAAACTAAACACGCATAAAAACATATATGTACTATTTAAAGGTTAACAACTCCTTTGAAAGGATTAAGGCCGTGGTCTAAGATGCCTTATGTTTGTAGGTTAACTCTTCAGCCATTAGGCGATAGAACCTGATGAACCTCATTTTAACAAAGTTAAATTGAGGTTAGCAATAAACTCTCAGTGTCAAAGAGTTGGTCAGTGGGGTTATGTGTTAATACAGTAACAAAGCTTCTGTTCAACCATCTGTCATCGTGCCATGTACGCTAGCATAAAGGAACACAGTTGCCATTTCTTAATTCTGCACTAAAACAGTAAACGGGACACTAAATAATGCTTAAAAGTATAATGTTCTCGACTTAAATAATCTTAAAACATACTTCTAAATAACAACGACAAGAGAAAAAGGAATTTATAAGTTAATAATCTGAACTCTATGAGCGCTCCAGATAATAATTGTTTCTTGTGAATTTAAACAGCAGTAGGGCTGAGGCTGATGGCGTTTCATGAGCACATAGGAACGCACAAGAATACATATATAGAAATGGCCAATGTTTTTTAAGCCACTAGGGGCACTAGACCTAGAGTATAAGTTCCAGGATTGGTAGCACTAAAAGCCACGCGCAATACTGCACTGTCCTAAAATTAGACCGTCTCTCTTCGTCTTTTGGAATCTATCAGAGAAAAGAGATTAGATTCAATCCTACATTTAAGAACCACAAATGTGTGATCAGCTAAGTGTCCTGTCTGTTTTGTTGAATGTTGTATCTTACTCGACATATCATATCTGTTGCTGGTTTGAGTGATGATTATTCAGTACTAAAATTAGGCTAAGGATT